CCATAATGTACAATTAAATTAATGCACCAATAAAAATGGGGAAAAATTTAAAATGATATATTTACAGAATTTCATATACAGCAATGACTACATGAGAAAATAATGTAAACAAGCTGTTATCAAAAATTCTTGAAATACATCTGAAGATATCAGTCTTCTCATTACAGGGCACATTATAGGAACACCCTTCAGTAATGAACTTTACCTCGTATCCCACTTTCTCCTGGCAGTCATTTACTCACTCCTCTCCCCCAACACATTCCCTTCCCCTCCTCTTTCCCTCCCACCTTTTCTCCCTTCCCCTTCCTCTCAACTGTCCCAGAGTACCTTACCCAAGGCTGCTGGTAAGGTAAATGATGAGACAAAGCTCTCTGGCCAGACATTCCCTGTCCCACAATAAGACGGTGCTGTTCCTTGAAATTTGGGGGACAGCAGATCATTGGGGGCTGAATGGCTGGACAGCCCATGGAGTCAACCACAAGAGGGGTGATGCTCCTCATATAGCTTGGCATTCCAACAGTCACCTGTCAGGAATGAGCTACTCATTTCTTTCCCAGTCAGGTGTCAGTTTTGCTCTGGGTTTCATATAAAGAGGTAGGACAAAAGGAAGTAATTGTTTCTTTGATGAATCTTTTTTGTTGGTTTTCCAAAATACTGTAGCTTTTCAAAGCAAAAATGACATCATCCCAAATGATTATGTTTACTCAAAAATACTAAAATACTAAAAACTAAGCCATTGCCTAGAGTATTTCTATTTAAAAAAAAGAAACTATTCTGAAGGGACTTATTTCTGCCTGCTAAAACATGACATTTAGCCTGCCACAAAAGTCTCATGAGATAATAATTAGTAAGCTTCAAATACAGAGGATTTGCCCCTGTAAATGCAAACCTTTTATTTTGTGAAACGAAAAAAATTGTACAGGATTCAGGGAATCGGGAGGGAAAGCAACCTTAGATTACAGTGGCCATTTGTTTCATTGTGTACATGAGAAAATAAGCAGAGATAAATTAGGAGGCTGCCCCAGAATGAGGTAAGTTTTGACTACAACTTGGTTGTTCTGACTCCCTATCAATACTTTCTGCATCTCTCCCTCCCAAGCTCACAAAGAAGAAAATGCATTAAAGTTACCTTTTACAACAGTGACACAAATAATTTGTTTCCAAACAGGGAATCAGCAGAACTTTAATCCCACATTTAGGAATACCATAACAAAACACATTTTTGAAAACAAAGTGGAGTTGGAAGAAGCATTTATTAATAATTCCTAAGAATGGCTTATTGAGCTTAAACAAGCATGAAATCAAGAAACATAATCAAATACATAATAATGCTACAATAGTAAATAATATTTTGTTCTCTGTCATCAACTCAATAACATAATAAAATGGCATACACTATGATTTCCATTCTAAGAAAAGCCATTCTTTTTTTTTCTTTTTTTAAACAAGAAATATTTTGCTCTGTCAATCTAGTAGTATCTAAATTGGCCCTTTTGGTCCTTGCCCAGAGTTAAGCATAGTATAAAGGCTATGCTAAAAACCACCAAGATCTGGGGTATTCATAGACTCATCCAAAAGTCATTGACCTTAGGCTGCTCCATTTTTAACCAGTCATGCTGGGCTCCCATATTGCTGTCCATATGCTGTGCAAAGTGGCATGTGCTGGCCACTAGTGTCTCCACTGTCCATACCCCAACATGGGAGTGAAAACAAAAAAAGCTGTTCAGCTTGGCAAAGCCCAATTCAATTAATTCATGAGTGTTTTTCTTTATAAAGACAAATACATAAGACTAAGAAGGCATTCAAATCCATAATTTTAGCCTTAACAAGGATATTACTGACCTCATTTAATTGGAAAGAAGAAACTTAAATGATCAAGTATTTCCTAAATAGGTTCTCAGCTTTGAAATAAAATAAAACAGTAAGAGCATAAGCAGAATAGAATCAGGAAGGAATTATTCCTATTACAAAAGCATTTCATCTTACAAAGGAATTCACAACAGGCTTCCTTAAATAATGCTGACCATTTAGAATACTGCAAAATATTTATGCACAACATGTTAAAAGAGTACTTTAAGTGGGCTCTATTAGTGATAACAATATTGGCTGACTCAGCAAAACTTATTCAAGCTCTTGATGGACACTACTGGGATGAACACCATTGGTTGGATCACAGAATGTGTCATTTGGATTTGAGAAGAATAGAAACATGCAGAATTGTTAATTCAGATGCAACTATACCCTGAGGTTTTTTTTTTTTTTTTTCAGAGAAAAAGTGACTGAATAATTAAAGATAGGTCTGTTATAACTATAGGAAGAGCCTGGTGTGGTGGTGCATGTCTGTAATCCCAGTAACTCGGGAGGCTGAGACAGTAGGATCACAAGTTCAAGGCCAGCCTCAGTAACTGAGTGAGGCCCTGAGCAACTTAGTGAGACCCTGTCTCAAAAAATAAAAAGGGCTAGGGATGTAGGTCCATAGTAAAGAACCCCTGGGTTAAATCCCTAGTTAACAACAAGAAAAAAAAAGACAACTATAGAAAGAAATAAAGTAGCCACTCCTCCAGAAGTCAGTTGCATCCTATGGTACATGTGCCATACTGGATTATTATTCTGAACATGAATCATAAACTTTCACTTCCCATACAGGCCATTAAACCACATTAAACCACTTCTATTTGGATCAATGGCCCAAAGGAAATGACCAACTGTCTACATACCAACATGAGGACATCTGCTATGACTGATGTTTGGAAAGCAACTGACCCCTGTGTAAACTCTAAGTCAATTCATGGGGTTGTGCAAAGGCAGATAAAAAGGTTTAGGAAGAGGAAAAATGAACTTCCAGGGGGGCTGGGGTTGTAGCCCAGAAGTAGAGTGCTCACCTAGTCCCTGGGTTCGATCCTCAGCACCACATAAAAATAAATAAATAAATAAAAACAAAGGTATTGTGTCTAACCACACACAAAAAAATTAAAATAAATTTTAAAAAAAGAACTTCCAGGCTTCAACTATAGCATTAGTGTTTGTTTCTTTGTTTAAAGATAGAATATAAATACAAAGCAATCTCCATTCTCTAAAAATATTTTCCAACTTAATGAACAGCCTAGAACTACACCATGGAAAAAGAATGTCAGGAAAATGCAGCACTCTGCATACAGTTCACCAGCTGCCATGCTTTTGTTCTTCCAAACATAAAACTGAAGATTTCTTTCAGATGCTTTACTACCTAAAATTAATCCAACCAGAATTTATCAGGCAAAAATTATCAGATGTCATTCAGCAATTGTGTATGAAGCCCTTACAATGTGCCAACACCAAACAACCTGCTGGTCCTGAGAATCTGCTTGTCTTTGGAGAGACTGCAAGATTAGACATGACTTCCTATTTTCTTCAAGTAAACATAAGCTGTAGGAACAACTCTTAACCTGCAAGTACACCCCCTTTTCCCCTATAAATCTCAGTACTGGATAGGATCAATGACAAGTTTGTATCAAATTCCAATCATTTTAATATGGAGGGTCTTCAAACTGTTCCCTTTGTGCATGTCCATTTCAGCATGGGAAGAGCTGATAGTTCTGACAACAATACTGCCCATTGAAAAATACATCTTCCTTGAACAAAAGATACTTTTTTTCCCCATGAAGCTTTGTTGCTATTTCCAGCAACAAATGATACAATTGATATATTCTGCAGTCTGCAGTAGTGGTTTCAGGCAAACAGGATACCAAAAGAAAAGCTTAAGAAACAAAACCAAGGTGAGTTGGGGGCAGGGTAGAGAGGTGACATGGAAGTGGAAATTTGTGGGGTTTATTTCGTTTTTAAGGTGCTGTGATCAAACTCAGGGTCTCTCAAATACAAGGCAAAAGCACTCTACCACTGAACTATTCTAAACCTGAAAGTGAGAATTTGTGATCTAAGAAATTCATGGTTTCCTTTATGAATGGGAAAAGAGGAAAAAAAGGGGAAGGTGATGTTTTCAGTTATGAAAAAGACAGAAGTGTGGGCCTCTGGCTAGGTTTTGTTTCAATAACACCCAGAGAATGCACAGCAGGCAAGATCTAACCTATTAACTAAGGCTGATTTCAATGAGAGTAACACAAGTTTGTTCGTGATATGATGGAGATAGCCAACCAAATTGAAGAATTATACCAACACTTATATGACAATTCTTTAAATTATTTTAAGTGTGTTCTGGTGCCAAGAAGAAGTTCATGATTATTAACAGGCCACGGATGTCAATTTCATATGGTCATTTTGCAGGCTATGCACCTGTACTGTCCTAGCCTCTTATAAGGAAACTGCTAATAACACGGAATGTTATTGTCACCTATTTCCAAAGACTGAGGGCCTGATGTTAAGTATCACACATGGAAACCAAAGAGCGACCAAAAGCCAAGGCAACCCTGGAGAATACTTCTGAAGCATATTCCCTACAATCAGTAGCCGGAGTGTAGATCTGGAAGTGTGCGCGGTTCCTCCTCGCTCTGGGCCGCGCGTCCCGAACGTTCCTGGCTGTCAGGTGGATGGAGCTGAGCTTTGGCAGGGAAGCCCAGCCTGGCAACGCGGAGTGCCGCGCGGATGGAGAGGGCCAAGCCTCGCGGAGTGCGGCGCGTCCCGAGGCCAGCAGCCTCTCACCTTTGTTCCTTCAGCTGCCCTCGCCGCCAGGAGGAGAGAGACAGCTAGAGCGGAGTGCGGGAGGCGACCCTAATGCCCCGCAGCCCTCTCCGGCGCCCTGGAGGAAATCCGTAGGCAAGCCAGACCTTCTCAGGCTCCCAGAAAGCAAGTGAGGCAGAGAGGTCGGCAACCCCTCCCGGAACACAAAGGTTGGGCGGTGTGGGAACGAACGGCGGGGCACGGGGCCGTGCGCCACGGAGCACGCGAGTGTGCGTGTGCGCGCGAGTGTGTGTGTGAGAAAGAGAGAGAGTGTGTGTGTGTTTGTGTGTGTGTCTACGCGCGCGCGCGTGCAGGGGGAGGGGAGGAGGTGCTCCTGCCCTTCTTACCTCTCAAAGATAAGCCGCACCATGAAGATGCAGAAGGCCAGTGGGAAGGCGAGATAGAGGTCCTCAGCCTGCGGGAAGGTGGCTTCCTCCGTGTTCTTCAGGTCCGCCCAGGTGACATTGTGTGGGAGCCAGAACCTCTCGTTCCAGAACCAGGCTAAGATTCCTGCCATCTTGCTTTGTCCACCCCTGTCCTGCGGCTCCCGCGACCCACCGAGCTTTCCTTAGCGCAGGGCGCTCAGGGATGAGCGCCGGATTGGCCCCGAGACTGCAGCCGCTGCTCCCGCCAGCCGTTGCTGCCGCCTGCTTTGCGGCCGCTGCTCTCGAAGGCTCGCGGCGAGCCCCGGTTCTCTCCTCCCTCTGGCCGCGCTGGGAAAGGGGCCGCCTCGCCTGTCACATGGCAGCCGGGGCCGCTCGCCCTGATTGGCTCGCCCTCGCGTCAAGCAGCTAGGCACACGCGGCCAGCTCGCCCACGCCCGGAGGGCAGGGCGCAGCTGCTGCGCCCAGGGCGCAGGGCCGCAGCTCGCGGGAGTGCTGCCAACCCTAGCGCTCGCCGATCTCTCGCTTTGAGCTTAGGACAGTGACTTGGTACCGGCCCCCAAAAATCTGCCTCAGCCCCCAAGTTTGCTTGCACATGCTCAGAACGCCGGTTCCTGCCCCACAGTAGTTTCAGGGTTCTAGTCCACTTTCCAAGCGCTGGGAGGCGACGGGGAGGCTGGTGGGCACTGAGGCTGAGCTTGGGAACCTTGGGAACCGGCCCTGCGCTGAAGGAAGACAGCAAAAGAAGAAGTAGGGGGCGCAAAGGCAAAGGAGACAGAAGGAAAAGGAAAAGGATCATTCACTCCAGCGATTGGAGAGAAGGGTGAAAATCAGGAACTGGGACAAAAGATGGTTTGGCAAGAGATTTCTGCCTCTGCTGCAAGCCTGTCTTTCCCCCATCTTTGACCTTCTGGCTTATTATACTATTGCTTCTCAAACCAGTTTCTTTTATTTTGATTTATGAGGTGGCACAAGAAAGTAGGCACTTAATTGCTATGATTATTAATTGCTGTTTGATGGTGGTAATAATGATGATGGTAAGCAACTCTAGCATTCTGTAATTCTACCCTTCTCAACTAACCTCTCTGAAAATGCTGCTGGACCACATTTTGACTTGGCAGATCATGAGACAACCTCCACTATGTTTGCCAGACTCACTATTTCTGTCTTTTGAATCTCAACCTTTAAGGCAATAGAACTGTGAGGCCTAAAGCAGGTTCTTACACTCCCACCATGCATTGGTGTGGGTTAGTGCAGTGACCTGTGTACACCTGCTTCCAGGGGGTACTTTGTTCAGTTTTCTCAGAATCATTCATTTTCTGCCTGATTCTACCACAATTTCTACTAGTCCTTTCCAATGTGTAGGGGGGGAGGGAGCGGAGGGGGGGTGTCCACACAGACAGACAGACAGACACACACACAGTTTGTTACTCTTCCTCTCCCTCCAGTTACCATCTTTTCATTCCTTCCCTTTAAAATGGTCTGAAGAATGATCTATACTGCTGCCTCTAAATTCTCTCCTCACCATTCTCTTTGGCACTTTCACTTGAGCATTTGGCTCCCTGCACTACTCTGAATCTGTTCAAGGTCACCAGTAATCTCCAAGCTGCTAAACACAAAGTTTAATTCTTGTCTTAGAGCGGTCTGCTTAGACTAGGTGGCATGAACAACAGATATTTATTTCTCACACTTCTGGAAGCTGGAAAGTCCATAATCAAGGTGCTGGCATATTCAGCATCTGGCAAGGGCCCTCTTCCTGATTCATGGATGGCTATCTTCTCCTTGTATCCTCCCATCATGGAGAACAGACAGAGAGGAAGCAAGCTCCTTTTCTATCTTCTTTTAAAGGCATTAATCCTGTTCCATGAGGGCTCTACCTTCATAAGGTAATTACCTCCCAGGTATTCCATCTCCACATACCATTACACTGGGGGCTAGGCTTTCCACATATGAATCTTGGGAGGACACAAACAAATCAGTGTATAACAGTTCTCAACACCTCTATCAGTAGCTTTTGGTCTAGTTATCAGTTCCTATCTCTTAACACATCCTTGTCTTAGCTTCCAAAAACCACACTCTTGGTTTTTTCTCCTGCCTTCTGCTCCATCTCCTTTCTGGTTACTCCTCATCTTCCTAACCCTTAAAAGTTGGACTCAGTCTTTTGTCCTCCTCACTTTTCTAACTGTACTCATTCAATTATTGTTCTTACCCCTATCTCAAGGATTTCAAGGCTTTCTTCATGATTTTCAATGTCATACTAATAGCTCCTACATTTATATCTCTAGCCATGAACTTTTCCCTGAACTTCAGACTCTTAAATCCACTGTTTACTCAACAACTCCACCTGAATGTCTATAAAAACCACCTCGTGGCCACGCTGCAAATCTTCTTCAATAAATCTCTCCGTCCTTGTAGTCTTGACTCAGACCAAAAATGTGGAGTGTCATTTTTTCCTTCTCTCTTCCTTTCATACTTTCTTTCTAATCCATTACAAGTCCTGTCAGTATCATTACCACAATCTCACCATCTCTCACCACCTCTTTGTTACCATCCTATCCAAACAACCAGCATTTCTCACCTAACCTCCTAACTTCCAGTTTCCACCTCCCTCTCTCCACAGTCTATTCTCAGCCAGAGTAATCCTGTTGAAATTCAAGATCACTTTAGCACTTTAAGAGCTTGTTCTTCTCCATCCTTCCCCAAAGGGAAGCCAAAGTCATTACAGTGCTCTCAGAAATTTGACTCCGTATTAACTCTCTGAACCTCATCTGCTCTTTCCTCTCCCTTATTCTGCTGTGGTCAGGCTGGACTCTCCATCCTTCTTGGAGCACATCATTCCATGCCTTACAGCTTTTGGTTTTCTCTGTCCCTGGAACTCTTTTCCTTCAAATATCTATACCTGCTCTTTAATGTCACTTTCTCTGAGAAGCCTTCCCTTCTACCTTAGTTGATCTACAACTCTCACTCCCCAAAGCATACATCAACACAATTCATATTTTACTATTTATTCTCTCTCCCTTCCTCCACCCCCCACACACAAATGTAAACTTCAAAAGTTAAAAATCTATTTTTATCAATGGTTGTATCCCCAGCACTTAACCAATGTTTCCCGCCACATAGTAGCTACCCAATAAACTATGAATTTATGAATCAACATTACTCTAACCTCAAAAAAATCTTCTCTATGAGGAGAAAAGTCTGTGTAATTGTGTTGAATATTTATATATCCATGTTAGACTCATGTGAAGAATAGTGTGGCATAAAGAAGGGATTGGTCAATTTTGTGGGTGGTGAGGAGGCATCATTTAAGTGAGTCTTTATTGAGGAGTAGATGTCTCTTTCCCCATTCTAGTCTGCGTACTCAGTTGTTCAGTGATACTTGTGACCTTCTGAAAGTTGCTTTGGACCAACCACATTCTCATAGGCCAGAGAGATGAGTTTGTTAAGCCGTGTCCCAATCTCTGTGGCAAAAGGTCATGTCATGGTAGAACCTAGCCTTCCAAGCCAGCCAGACCCCCTCCTTGTTTCTCAATGTCACTCCATCCTGTATGACCTGATAGTGCCTTGACTCCTACCTCAGGGCTTCTGTGCTATCCAGAAGCTCCTTCTCAGTGTACAGCAGTATGTGTTGGCGAGTTAATGACCCAGGACCTGAACTTTGATCATAGGCAATGGAAGCCATGAATAAATTTTTACTCCTTTTCCTCCCCTGTCCCTTGGACACACCATAGCTTCAATCAGCCTCTCTGAAATTATCCTGTGGTACTTTGAGCTTTTCTCAAGGATGTGACCAGCTCAGTAACTTGTTCCTTTGGTTCCTCTCCCTCTTTCTCTATTTCACCTTCCTTCCCCCTCGTTCCTGCCTCCCTAGAATTTTCTAGAGAGGCCAAATAGGAGAGCAGTCATCAACTTTGAGAAGCCGGTGGGAGGGATTTTAGGAACATTTTGAAAGATGGATTTTGTTGGGCACTGGAAGGTGGATTTGGTACTTATCTGGGAATCTTGCACAAGTCATTTAGTTTCCAAGAGCACATTAAAGTCATCCTGTGTAAGTTATATAACAATAGTACTTGTCTTACCTGTGTCACTTGAATGAAGCTCAAATAAGATAAGATATGGGAAAGGGCTTGTAAACTGTTTGCTTCTGTGCACAAGTATGGTGCGGCAGCCACTTGTATGTGTCTAGCGTATTCCTTCAAGTAATAGCCCCATCCAAATTATTACCTCTGAAACACAAAGAGTAAAATACTCTACTTGGACACATTTTATTGATCCAGGGGTTTATTGATTGATCAACAAGTTAGTGCTTTTTCTGATACAGGGATATGGGTCAGGGCTGTCTTTCTGTGGACCCTGTACACAAGGATTTTAAACTCAGGGCTTTGACCCCTTGCTTCATTGTACAGCTAGAAAAAGCAGAAGTTGGTCTACACAAGAGATAATAAAAAAGCCTGTAGAGTTGAGTAAAGTTCAGAGATGCACAAGTCTTGTGAGACTTCTGATTGTTGCCCCAAGAAAACAAAATGAACTTTATGCATCAGAAAAAATATATATAGTTCTGTGAGAAAATGAAGAGTTGGCTGGTAAGTAAAAAAGACAGGAGAGAGAAAAGATGAAAAAAAATGTTGTGGGGTTGTGACACTGCCTATGCTGCCTATTAGGAAAGATCACTTCATGTCCTGAATATGAAATAGCACATGAGATTACACCCTCTTTTCCAGGCAATTGGAAAGTATCAACAAAGCCAAGTTTCACTTCACATTCTCAGGTACACACCCACATTTGCATTCTTCCTTGGACATTTGAATTCACACAACAAGGAATCTCCACTTCTTGGATGCAGGAGGATAGCCCAAAGTTTCAATGAATTTCCACTGAGTTGCATAACACGAAATTACAGTACTTGTTCTACAGAAAGAACAAAAAATCTATTTGGGGAGCAGGATGTGCTCACATGAAAAGCCAGACAGATAGCAATACACACTAGCAGCACTCATGATGGCACTAGATATTAGAGGATAAGTGCCCAAGTACAGCAGATAACAAGGGCTCCCTGTGAAAGGAGGAAGGAGACATTCTGTTTTGAAGAGGTCAAGGGAACTTCAAGGAAGAGGCAGAAGTGGAATCAGACTATGAAGAATGAATACAGTTTGAAAAGGCCTGAGCAATGGTAAAAAGAAAGATTTGGTGAGGGCAATAAAATATGACTGATACACAAGATTGCAAATGGCCGTTAGTATGAGGCAAAGGGAAACTTCCGTTTATTTAGTGAGAACTTATTTTATCTATGATTACAGCACAAAAGCAATTCTTTGATAATGCTTTGCCTGGTACATGATACACACACA